ACTACTCAATTAGTTGTCATCAACGCTCGTGTAAGCCTTCAAAGCCCCTCTTACAACAGGCTGCAAACGTTCCAACCTCAAAAAGCCACCAATCTGCTTCTTATTACCACTCACAGATTTCCTCTCGCCCCCGGTGCTAGTGATAGCTCCTTACGCCAGATTGGCAGCATGAGCACAAGAAGGAGCAGACTATCTGAACTGTGAGTGAAGTTGCTTACATCAGTAGTTTATATGCTTACGCAAAATAGCGCTTATTAAATCATTTATATCCTGCACGATTTCACTGACCTTGCGTCTTCTGTGAACGATGATCCGAGTGATCTAGATAAGCTTGCGAAGAATCCTTGAGAGAGAGGGAGCTTCTGTTTCTATCTCCAAACAGCACCAAAACTGACAATTTTCACGATCGTTACGCAAGCTCCGCTTGATTTCTTGGCTGGGGTTGCGGCGGATATCATCACAGCATGAATCAGATGGAGTAGATGGGCGACGGTCAAACGATTTAACTGAGAGAGAAGGGACCCAGCTTGTCAGAGGAAGCTTTGCGATTCCACGATATACTAACTGGAAGAAAGCGAAACTTCAAGGTAATGTAGTACCGTTCGATATATGTGGGTATCGCATTGGCAAACGCATAAGAGAACTAGTATAGATAAGTCAGTTGAATGGAGGGGTTAGCTAGCCGCTTGGTATCCAGTGTACGGCGTTTTGGTTTCTGGGAAACACCAAAGCAAATGTAGCTGTCCGTACAGACCAGAGCATGATCTAACTTGACGTAGGTATACTAAATTGATCTCTAGTTATAAACACTGGCGCACCATCTGAAGCTGCATGTTACGTGATTCATTTGTGACAGCCCCTGTGTTGGCGTAGATAAACGACAAGTTGAGGCGCATCTCCTTGAATACCTGAAGTTCATTTTTTGACAGTAATATCACTTGTCCTCATACAACACGTAACGTGTGTCACTGATTTCAGACAGCCTCTCATCAGGTACATTAAAACCATCGGGATGACGCTTGGAAAGCGTCCGATGACCGACCAGTACACTGACATCTCAGGCAAGAACGACATCGGATACTTAGCTATAGTCAACTGTTACACTGCATGCCGAGCTGCGGATGCAATGCGCGACAACTTATCAACCTGCTTGTAAGTTGATTTGTAGAGTTGAAAATAAACCCAAGGACTGCCACGAATATTGACACTGGTCACCCCCGTGTAATTGTGTGCGTTTCATAGATACCACGGTATAGTTTTTAGCTAATATTGCTAAAACTTGTAGGAGCATTACCAGGTTATCTCTGATTTGACAAAAGATGCGCACTATTATTTATACCGCTATGCCCACCCCTACAACTTACTGCATTACTATATCTTCAATAAAGCACATCTTCACTAAACGAACTCGGAGTGTGGTCAACTTTAGGCTCACACATGAAGAAATATGCGTTAACAGCTGAACGATTTCCATGAAAAAAGCGGAAATGAGTTAACCACCGGTTGTTTAATACCATACTAGGAATCATCTTATAATACGAATTACGAGCTTTCGGTTGTGTGAAAAGAATTTATTTATAACTGCTGATCGAATCTGTTGGCTTACTAAAATCTGTTAACACGAGCATTGGTTGTAAATTTTGTAGCTACCTTCTCATTATTGATAAAATAAGGTGAGGTCTTGCACTTAAGATTTAATGTTCCCATTTCGACTGCTTCTTTTTACAGGAGATGGATATGGTTCGCATGTTATTTCGTGTGGGATAACCAATGGCATGCGCTCACGTATGTGCAATCGATAAATCACCACCTATTCAACAGCTCCGGCCATCCTACGGACAAATAGGAGGATTGAACAGTGGTGCCAAACGTGTATATTATGACGGCAGAAGAGAACTAACCGAAAGTGAATTCCCCGTTTGTGCTTCGGTTCTATTCAAGCCCTGCTGACCTGACAACTTATCACTTGTCTAGAGTGTACCATCATTCCTGCGGGCATTATGCGATGAAGTGAGTAACGAGCATGTTAATAAGTCTTGGCGGTTTATTCACTACATTAGATGGCACATTGTCCCAGTATTTGATATTGATTAGTCAATCGGTTATATAATTTGGCATTTTGGTAACCCGTTTTATTTAAAACGAATTTGTGGTATAAATCAATTATGTCAATTGGAATCCAATTCATTAACACAGTTGTTTCCGAGTATACTACGCTAAATATGTGTCAATATTAGTAATCTAAATGTTTTCCAATGGGTTAGCGCTCATATGGTCTAAATCAACGGTTCAAAAGCAATTGATCGGTTTAACCAAAATTTTGGTCGTCAAAGATTTTAGTCATTGATATCGCAGTTATTCTCATACCCTTTTGATCCACTCCACGCTATTGCAATAACCACTGCAGTTCGATAGTAGATCTGCTAAGATTTGTGATGTTTGACGAACATTCCAGCATTTATAGGCATGACCCAAATAGAAGTAATGTGGTATATTTTGTTAGAGGCCGTAATGTCATGGGGGCTGTTCTAATGGTCGTCGTGAACAAGACTTCGTGGGCTGCAAACGAGCGGCGGCTTAGCAGTCGTGCAAGTCCATGTTAAACTGGATCGGAGCTTCTGCTTATTATCCTTTACGACATGCTCAGTCATGAACAGAAGAGTAATTAAATTTAGTTATTACCCGTTAATGATAGAAGCAGGCTTTTTATCGCGTAAATAAAGTTTATCTGGATTGACTACCATGTACCCGTTGGTCTGTGCATGATCTTGCCCAAATTATCTGCCGCATTCGTGCCTTAGTATTCCGAATTCGTAAGACTCTATAGAAGAGTGCTATCAAAGTTGCGGTTGCAAGCAACCAGAGTGAAACTGGACAAAGATTATTCCATTTGCTTTATCGCATTTAACTGCCTAGCCGCAAAGGTACGCGACCAACTGGGAAAAACAGCAGATGCACGTTTCGCCCAATTAAATCTCATCAGGATGCGCCTCCATCGGTCTTCTACTGGGGATCGAAGCCATGACTGCTAGAGGCTAACGCCTACTTGCCAACAGCTTGTGATAATGATCCTTGAGAGACGACAGCCGACCCGCGATTGAATAAATATTATTTCACGTTATTGTTAAAGGCACTGATGAGACAAAACGAAATGCGTGCAATTGCCAGTTACTTCTTCGTCCTGCGCTTTTAAAATTACTGAGGGAACTAATTATTGCAAACAGGATGATATCATTTGATGATCAGTCACTGCCCACCAACGTTCCATTGCTCGAAACGGCGGAATATTTGTGCAAACAGCCTCAAATATTGCACGTATTTTGGCGGCTGGAAAGAAGTAACACCATTTTGGATACCTTTTCAGTAACCGCAAACAATATGTCCAGCAGTTGAGACAATTCGCAAAAGTATTCCGCCGTTTTGAGCAATGGAACGTTGGTGGGCAGTGACTGATCATCAAATGATATCATCCTGTTTGCAATAATTAGTTCCCTCAGTAATTTTAAAAGCGCAGGACGAAGAAGTAACTGGCAATTGCACGCATTTCGTTTTGTCTCATCAGTGCCTTTAACAATAACGTGAAATAATATTTATTCAATGGCGGGTCGGTTGTCGTCTCTCAAGGAACATTAGCACAAGCTGTTGGCAAGTAGTCGTTAGCCTCTAACAGTCATGTGTTCGATCCCCAGTAGAGGACCGATGGAGGCGCATCCTGACGAGATTCAATTGGGCGAAACGTGCATCTGCTGTTTTTCCCAGTTGGTCGCGTACCTTTGCGGCTAGGCAGTTAAATGCGATAAAGCAAATGGAATAATCTTTTGTCCAGTTTCACTCTGGTTGCTTGCAACCGCAACTTTGATAGCACTCTTCTATAGAGTCTTACGAATTCGGAATACTAAGGCACGAATGCGGCAGATAATTTGGGCAAGATCATGCACCGACCAACGGGTACATGGTAGTCAATCCAGATAAACTTTATTTACGCGATAAAAAGCCTGCTTCTATCATTAACGGGTAATAACTAAATTTAATTACTCTTCTGTTCATGACTGAGCATGTCGTAAAGGATAATAAGCAGAAGCTCCGATCCAGTTTAACATGGACTTGCACGACTGCTAAGCCGCCGCTCGTTTGCAGCCCACGAAGTCTTGTTCACGACGACCATTAGAACAGCCCCCATGACATTACGGCCTCTAACAAAATATACCACATTACTTCTATTTGGGTCATGCCTATAAATGCTGGAATGTTCGTCAAACATCACGAATCTTAGCAGATCTACTATCGAACTGCAGTGGTTATTGCAATAGCGTGGAGTGGATCAAAAGGGTATGAGAATAACTGCGATATCAATGACTAAAATCTTTGACGACCAAAATTTTGGTTAAACCGATCAATTGCTTTTGAACCATTGATTTAGACCATATGAGCGCTAACCCATTGGAAAACATTTAGATTACTAATATTGACACATATTTAGCGTAGTATACTCGGAAACAACTGTGTTAATGAATTGGATTCCAATTGACATAATTGATTTATACCACAAATTCGTTTTAAATAAAACGGGTTACCAAAATGCCAAATTATATAACCACTCATGGTACGTGCTTCTATAATGTGCAACCGATGAGAACGATCGAAATGTAGTCAAATGGCAACCGGATTCATCACTAGCTTCCGACGATTTTACACAATTCTGCTACATATAGAGTAGCGCCACATCATGCGCGTTTCGGACTTCACCGAATATTATTGACAGCGTTTTATCAACTCTCCTTGGTTTATATATAGATGGATTATATAAAATGAACTCGCTTGGCATACGCAGGTCAACTAACTTTTGCGCCTTACTTAATCTCATTGTAAACCACACCGTATTCTCCATCTACGCAATGAACTTAAGAGAGTTATGCGCAACAGGTGCGTTCCCAACCCGAACATAGAAAACAATCCCGACATCAATTAGGAGCAGCCCATTCTATATCTCTTTTCTTAAGGCGACCCGTTCATTGCTCCTGTCGTAAATGAGGATTCGCTCTCCACCGCACCCATGTGTGAGCTCAGCGATTGTCACCATAACTCCGAAGAGGAGCTATCCTTTGGCTTTTATCTCAATTCGGGGCTGCCGCCTGTAGACAACGTAGCCCCGTTCAGCCCGTTGTACGCTAGTTCTCCGCGTGCACTACTGGACGAAATCAGTTGCACACTTAACCTTTTTAACTGCTAATTTATCGCACTTTATGACCCATTCTTGTTTTCAGCTTGATATTATTTAAATCCAGTGGCGTTTTAGTTTTATCTATTACATGTTATCGGTGAAAACCACGGACTTCAGCTCGATGGGACATGATATGTTTCGCGTCCCTACTTTTCTGCTTTCTATTTAATCCATATGATCGATAATACTGTATGTTTGAGTGTTGGTCAGGTTCACATTGTGTCACTCGGTAGTTTTGAGATGTGCAGATGACAGATCTGTTGATTCTTTAACCATGATTATCGGGGTGTGGATGTGTGCGTGTGCGAGTGTGAAGCGTGTATGAGTAATTTGTACGACTTAATTGGCGTGGGGAAAGCACAACTGCTGCTCAGTTTCCGCTACTTCTTACGCGCTACTGTTCACCCTAGTATAAACACCATTTGGACAACCAACTGCAGACACCGCGTTCACATGGCATCTAGCTGGCTAGACTTGCAGCCGTCTCTTCTAGCGGGTTATCTTGATCCAATCCAATGGGGAATGAGTGCGACCAGTCCAAGTTAAACCACTTCGCACTCAGCTGTTATATCGGGGTTTTCTAATGCCCCAGCCACCTAATGTTATGCTAGTAAGTCTGCTTTGTTTTCTAAAACGAACGGAAAATGATCATTTCCTAAGCCTCCATGAACAATGAGCAATGGATTTATTCTGGTTAAGAAGCATTGCTTTACAAGTCCCGTTGGATTTTTGGGGGATATTGATATAATAATAATACTAATACCAATAATGATTGTAAAACGGTTAGCACTTAAATATGATTATCAACAGCCAATCTCACGCTTTCTTACTACCTTTCACTCACCGTCCATATTTTCCAAATTTATTATCCAGTCCCAAAAATAAGTGATATAATTTTCTAAGTAGATATCTTAATAAGCTCAAATTTTAACGCGACGTATGCATTCCCTCCCAATTTTGGCACAGGGATTAACTTCGCTTTCACAAAGCATTCTGGTTGAATTGATCTGTGCATTGCTTGTGATACCACTGCACCATCTTAAGTAACCTGGGATGATTCGGTTCTGTGTTCACGGGTGATGACAATTTTCTCACCGTCAATTCATACCAGGCTAGTGTCTAGGACCAATAACGTTAATTTTTCAGTCAAGCGGACATCAATATTTGTTTTATGTCTGTCATAATAATTCGATGGGAATAAAGAAACCTCATGAGTTCTCCGCAGTTGTTGTGAATCAAAACCCACCTTGAAAGGAACTTCACAATTTCTACGTTTATACACAGATAGAGACAAGACTGTTTGCAATAAGCGTATAGAACAACTCAGCCAGACTTCACCCATACGGTTGATAATGTTTAATTTGACTTGACTTGGCTTTAATGTGATATTGTAGTTGGCAGGTTGACGTTTAAGTAGAATTGTCTGTGACTGCACCTAGACAGTTGTTGAAGATGGATACGTCAACTTCAGTGGGCAATGAACAATGAACAATGATTTTATACGGGTTAAGAAGCATTGCTTTACCAGCCACATTGGGAAGTCTGCTGGTTTAGCGAAATGCCTTAATGAAAAAAGCAGTTGGTATTTGTACTATCGATATAGTGGACTCACGTTTTTGAGTTAGTAGCCCGGCACCTCGAGAATTTCCATAGCTTCAATGGGAGAAAAATAGTAACTCCGAGTTATTTCTCGGGACTCGGATAGAGAGCAGCTGCAAATAATAAACTCTATGTTACGGAGTGCGTCTGAAAACCGACTTTTAAGTATGGCTAGCGTGGATGTTGCTACAACCGAATCGGAGTGAGTATTCCATGGTTGGCACACAAGAATGGAAACGAAGTTTATACGGCACGCCAGGCGGCTGTTATTTTTCTGCCAATTTCAAGGAGTGGCCTCTAAGTTTGTTATTACGACTGAGACGCAGGAAAGCAGGGCACACATGATTTAAATTCTACAAAATTCAATACGTCATAAGCGCATCACCACGTAGTCCGCGATACCGCTCGCTGAATATGGCGTAACGATTCAGCCTCTGATCGTATGGAAGGTGGCGCATTACCATAATCCTTAAAATACTAGGAAGACCTTCCGTCTCGTTTGCTTGCGTCCCAGTTTTGACTTATCCTTCCTTCGCATTTCTCAAAATTCTTCCTTCTTGATCTATTGACTTCTCCCTTTACCACTATGGTTCATCTTAAACAGCAGCATGTTAAGCACACTCAGTGCACCGTCCTGGTGTAGTTTGATAATATTCAGCGGTCACAGCCCGAATACATTACTCAATTTCTACAATGTTCCGTGATCTGGCGCCTACATTTTCTTTGTGGGCAAATTGACATATGGCATTTCATCATCAGCACTATCATTTCAGAAAACTTGGTAGACGACCGGTTAACAAATTTAGGTTGATAAAATACCTTTCGGTTTTGACACAAAAGCTTCATCAGGCCAAACTCGAAACATTGCGTATCATCATAAATATATTTATCCGTGGTATACCATATTTGCTGAAATGATGACTTTGCGATAGGTTCAAAATATGTTTCAAGGTATTGAGAAATATGAAGTAATTGACCTATGTACTAGCTAGAATGTTGAGTTAACCCGTGCGGTTCCACCTTTGGGAACTGGCTTAACGCAAGTGTTAACAGAGGACTAGGCTTATGTTGCAGAATCAGCCGGTGTCCCGGACTCGCATATTTCAATTATCATTGAACTTCGTTATTTCGCTGAACTAGTGCTATTGAACCAGACCAACAAACTGTTTTTGCATTTATTTAGCAAGCGGTCAGCTCCGAAAAACCGCCATCATATCTATCACTTTTACCATATCTCTGTTAGTTAGAGTAATGTTCGTTACATAGCAAACACTATATATGTGATCCCTCAATATGACTACGCAAGCTGAATACTACATACACAAAATTATTTGCGATTTTTATTTGATGCAGACCTCAAAACGTCATCGGTTTTGTGCAAATGAAAGACCTAAATCATATTTCTGGGTACCCTTGTGTGCGGCTGAATTTAAAAATTTTATTTTAGAACCAACTGTTTAATTCAACACTGAGCTACTTTTGTTCCACCAAAATCACAATGCTGCTAGTTTGTTTATCCATTTCATCGTAATTACCATGTTGCTGAGCCAGTGCTTCATTTGCTTGTTTGACTCGGATGTGATCTATTTCACCCCAAATCTGACTGCTTATATTGTGTTGGATTATCGGACACACGCCCGTCAGTGTGGACATCTGGTTAAGTCGCCTCCGTTAAGGCGGTACGTTGCACACGGTAAAATGTATTATACTTCCAATTTCTCAAGTCATAGGAGCAAATTCTTTTATTTCTCACCACCGTATTTCGGTTTGGTTCACAACTCCACCACAAGCCCGGTTTTTGTTCCGATAAGACGAAGTTACTTTAACTGAAGCACATGGATACTCACAGGCACTACTGGATCCCTGTAGCACAAATACAATTGTGTCATATTCAACACAAAATTCTGTGCTGTGTGAGGCTCCGTTGGTCAGACGTCACCGAGACCACCGACAAGTTGTCGCGTGAAGTTGGATTTAGTTTCTAAAGAAAAGTTGTTATTAATTCAAAGGAGCTCGCACTCCTGTTTGCACTATCAAATAACCGAAATGTTGAAAATGTTAACAGCAAGCGTACACACGTTTAAGCAACCTGACCTAGGTCGTATCAGCCTTTCTCCTGGAGTTTAGCATTCACCACACTCTGAGCTTTCCGGAACCTGTTACGGACTTCAGGATGGTGACCTAAATGAATATGCCCCTGCTTCCAACGCGGTGTCGCTGGACCACGCGACATGTGGTGGCTTTGCGTGGCCGCAATTCATCGGCACGATGTGTCTGCATGCTGCTGACGGGTACAGCATATTTCGTGTCCATCATTTCAGAACGTACCGATTTCGGGCGTTCAAGTATGAGTGAAGCAAAGTTCACATATTTGCTTGTCCAGTCCACAGAAAGATTGTGTTTCCAAATCCATTGGATTTCCTTGATAACTTAACTATTTAAGTGCTCTGCGTTTGAGGAGTTGTGGTTACTCCTATTTCGTTTTCTACGCTAATAAGTATTTTAATCTAAAGTGTGTCAACAGTCGTCCTAAGTTTGTTGTGCCCATATATAGGCGGATTCAATACAGCATAAATCAAATTCCACAGAAGGTCATTCCATCTGTCCTGGTGAAAATACGGTCCCGTCTTATGGTATGCGCATCTCAATTTATTTGCAATTAGTAAAGTATTGTGGCTCTGAGTTATTTAGAAAACATACCTCACCTGCCTAGGCGAGCATAACCATTGCACGTTTGCAATGAATGGGAAATTTGAATGTTGTTTAGGTAATTCCATTGCACACAACACGCTTCCTTTCCACCAAACTAGTTACGATATGTCGAAATCTAGCGTTATCTTGTGGAGTTTTCACCAAGATACCTTGAGCTGTGATGCAGTATCCGAGACCAATAAGTGTCCACCATCAAAAACCGATTCGAGAAACTTTAGATAACGTCTTCCTGATTCATATCCTTAACTGTTCCGTCCCATGGAAGAAACAACATGTTAAACTTGTTTATCTCAAATGTAAAGCACATATAGACAGTTAGGTTACCTACACGATTCGATTACCATGCCAACCAACCTCTTTTCGAACGACAACCTCAGCTTTTAGCACTTTCCCCATCCTGATTTCTTCGGATACATCGCTGCTGCATTACACAATGCTATCATTCTTCTGCGAATACATATTCCACCTGCTTCTTCATCATTAATACCACCCACATATACATCAAGGGTTTCCTTTTATTTCGGCATCCTACACGGTTATTTCATTATCTGCATTTATCCATGTGCCAGCAATTCAACTCAATATGTCAAAATTTTACATACTTGGAGCAGCAAACTTTTACCGGTGCCCGAAACCTACATTCATTTGTCATTTTCTTCGTCTTCTTAGTTAGGAGTCACTCTCATCATTTGCTGCTG